GTGAGTATACACAAGTCAGAGAATCATAGAATGGTTAGGGTTGTAAAGGATCTTAAGGTCATCTAGTTCCAACTCCCTTCCATGGGCAGGGACACCTCCCAGTACACCAGGTTGCTTGAAGCCCCTCCAACCTTGGCCTTAAACACTGCCAGGGATGGAGCATTTACCACTTCCTTGGGCAACCTGTGCCAGTGGCTCACCACCCGCACAGTAAAGAACCTTTTCCTTATATCTAACCTAAACTCCCCCTGTTTAAGGGGACCCGTTACCCCCTGTTCTATCACTACAGTCCCTAAGAATCACATCAGTGCATCAGAACCACATCAGACACGTACCCTGCAAACACCCTGCACTGATTCCCCCTTTGCTCTGCCCCAGGAAGCCCGCACCCTGAAGCCGCCAGGTCCTGTTTTAAATCATAGCGACCAGTGAAATACAGGGTGCTCAGGCATAGGGCACAGTCACAACCACCTAACTGCAGACAGGAGTGGACATTACAATACTTCGTATAGCTTTGGGTTAACAGAGAAAGGGATGTCTGTACAAAGGCATATGTAATGGAAGAATGATCAATAGCAGCAGCATTCTGATGAACTCCAGTCTGAGCAAGAAAAGCAGTGATACAGACTGCAGTTACTGCTCTTTACAGCACCATTTTTGTTTAATATCCTCTTCAATGCTCAGTTACTCCATTACAGCACTATAAACAATCTGGATGACCCTAGCAATAACAAATGAAGCTCTTGATGTTTTATCGTCAGCCTGAAAACAACTTACATCTCTTTCCACTCCCTAATAAAATTCTTGATATTCTTTATTTTTAATGTTCTAATTGGCTGCTAGTGAGTTCCTCTTTCTGTCCCACTTTGAAGAAAACCTGCTTAGATCAGCAGACCACAGCAGGCAGATAATTTTTTGCTAACCGATACACAAAGCAAATGCTTGAACAGAGCATTGTTTATTTGCCTTTTCAAAATTGTGACATTTCAGATGTCTCCTTGCAGCCAAAATGTCTGTGTGGGTCATTGTGCAGAGAGACAGCGATCTGCCTACCTAACATTCCTCATGTGGCTCCAGCGGGGATGTCGTTTGCCTCTCATGCAGCCAGAAACACAACGTGGGATTATAGCATGCCACTACAGCCAGCTGCTGTGTTTTGCCTTGGAGAAAGCTGCATTTCACTGTTGTGAGAAAGGATCCTCCTACAGCTCCACACACAGAGACCCAACCATCCTCATAGGAGCAATGGAAGGGCTGGTATCTGAACATAGGTGTTTGGTCCCTCTGCTAAGGCTGTGGTCCTGTTCATACTCTGACTCCAGGCACCAAATAACACAGGCATGAAATATGACCAGAACATTTGGAGTTGCTGCATAAAATGCAGAAGATGAGCCACTGGTGATTCAAACTAAGACACCAGGCACTGACCCTTTGTTCACTTTGCTGGGGAGAGGGCTTCTCAGCAGCGAGAGGCAGCAACTACTTGGGCTCATATCTGTAAAAGCCCAAGTGAGCTTGTGCAAGCTGAGCAAGTGGAAGGGTGATATGTGGAGTGGGGGAAGAGACACCCTTCATACTTGACAGCTGCAAACTTTGTTGTTGCTCTCTAGCCCAGCCCAGCCACTGGAAGTGTGAGCTGGCTGCATCCCCACACTTCTCCACCTTATGCGCATGCTCAACTGTGAATCCCCATCCTGCTAACAGCCTCCAAAAGCACTTTCCAGAAAGAAAAATATGGGCCTTCCATCTGTAGATGCCTTTTACTGAAGAGTGGAAACACCAGGAGTTATCCCTGATATCCCAATGCACCATTTCTCAGCTCCTTTGAGGACAACAGGAGCATTGCTGAACTGCCAGCTCAGGACAGGATTCTGCTACCACCACTAGCAAAACCATCAGTGATGATGGGAGACCTCAAATGGCATCCAGGGAATGTGCCTCAGTGAGCCACCAGCCTGTTGTGAGGGTCAGCACTACCTACAGATGACGTTCACATTGCTCTCCCAGTGATGGGCACCTCACACTCCCCCATTCTGCACTGTGGGCAAGTGCACAAGAAAGCAGCACTTAAAATATTACATTAAGCGGTGGCTTTGACCCCATGTGGTGCTCAGGTGCAAATGCTTCTCCAGGCTGAAAGACAACAGATAAGTGGACTTGACAAGCAATTTATCGTAGTGCTTTAATCTATGCAGAGTTAATTCAATTCTTTCAATCCTATTTACTGAGACATTGGCACCCACGTCTATTCTGCTGCCATCATTTGACCCATGCTCAGCAGCAGATGTGACTTAGTTGCACAATTAAATGATGCAGCAACACCCTGATTCAATTTAAGCCCGTACTTACAGATCTCTAACCCTCACTGAAGCAGCACAGGGCTGACACTTGACTTGCTGCGTTGGGTTCCGTTTGCTGTATTTCTCATACCTTCATAGGGCAAGCTCCAGCTTCCAAACCCAACAGTATGCCCAGTCATCTTGAAAACAACCTCACTCCCAACTCAAGCATGTGCACTGCTGAGATAGCACAACCAAACATGTTTGGGGTTTGAATCCATAGGACAGAGCAGCCTCTTACTGACTGCAGTGCCTAAGAGGATTTGCTAGGAAGTGTTTCAGAAACCAGCATCTTGTAATGGAAGCACTCTCAAAACCACTGAGCCACTTCCCACAGACAGAGACATTTGGGGAAGGGTGGGCTCTTTTATAAAGAAACATGAAATTGCAGTAGTGAAATTAATTAACTGTATTCCTCCCTCCTTGCCCCTGGGCAGCCCCCCCAGGTTTCCCCATGGGTCCTATCTAGTGTCACTGTCAACACCAGGCACTGCAGCCCTGATTAAGTCATTACAAGTCAGCCCTTGTTCCTCCACTTTGAGTCAAAAGCAAATGAGACATGTGCAGGCTTTGGAAGCCCTGAAGTGCAGCTCTGTCGTGGGCACAGCGGGATGAGTGGAGCTGGCAGGGACCTGCCGACTCCAGCTGTTTTGGACAAGAGTGATGCCTGGGAATTGGCTGAGCATCACTCACTGAGTGTTTGATTTTCTGCTGCAAGGGACACATGGGGATAAGCAGGGACATTACCAAAGCAGATTGATTATGCTAAGGCCACATTACCATGCATCATATCAGCTCACAAAACCCAGGTCCAAGCAGTGCTAGGTTAGAAGTTCAAGCTTCCATCAAAAAATCTGGAAAGCACAGATCATCCCCTTATCTGGAGCAAATCTGCAGCCTCAGCACTCAGGGCCATGTCCCCATCTTACAGCTGGCAAACTGAAGCACAGATTGCCACAGTGAGATGCTTGCAGAGATACGTCAAGACTGTAGAAAACCCAGGTGAAAACCTCAGTTTCAGTAACTGTGCACCTAACGCTGCAAGAGCTAAAGAGGCTATTGGAGAGGGCTGTCACTGCTAACACAGTGGTGGCCCTGACAGAGATTCCTGAGACAGAAAAGGGTTAAGGAAGGGAATTTTGTTACTTTCTTGTCGTATTTTCTCGTGGGGGGAGAAGCGTTGTGCAAGCAAGAGTTTTCCACTGGCGCTAGGCCCCCTTGCACTTATCAATGGGACCTTTCAGGACTCACTCCCTGATTGAGACATCATTTCCTGTCCAACACACTAACCCCATTGATAACTCTGCGCTTGATGGGAACTTTTCAAACCTACCAGGAAAGGCCAGGAGACCCAGAAGAACATATACATGAAAACAGAACTGGGGCAAAAAGAAAAAGGAGAGAGAAAGAAACAGCTTTGGCCACAATCTGCATGCTGACAACTGTGTGTGATTTATGGAGCTGGGCATCTTTAGCAGGTACATCAGGCACTGACATAGTCTTCACAGCAGTAGGACTGGCAGGCCTGGCACTTCAGCCCAGTAAGAAGTGGAGAGGGGCATCTCTCTTTTGTCTTCCAGTCACACAGCAAACACAGAAATTGGGACTAGCCATAGTAATGTTCCCATTTCCCACCAGAAAAGCCAGGAGGCCATAAGTGATACAGATTGCAGAACAGGCTAGAGACTTCAGATGTCCAAGTACCAGAAATGACACATAAAGGGGAGCAATGATGAAAGAAGGACTTTCAAAGATATCTCAGATTTCTTAATTTATCGTGGCAAAAAGGCTTAATGCTATTTCCCAAGACACAGCCCATTCAGCTGTGTACATCCTTAACACTGGCTGTGAGGACTCACTTGATACTTAACCTCAGCCCAGCTCCAAACACTGTCTTCAGCCCAAAATCAACATTTCCCCCAGGATTCAGGAGTCTGTCAAATCCCAGCTTTTGTTTTCACTCCAGGCAATTATAGTTTTGTTGCCTACAAGGTATGATGATACAAAGATATCAATGGATCTGGATTATTGCTACATAGTCCTGAGCCAGAAAGCTCTCCCAGAAATGAAGATGCTCACACTGAAAGTTTGTAATTTGGACTTTTCCTATTTCCTGGCTTCAGACTTTGGCCAGCAGCTATCCAGCAAGAAAGCTGTCAATGAAAACTAAATATACAGGCACCAAATACAGTAAAGGAGCTGTACAAACCAGCAGGAGCTAGGACACCAGCTGGCTGGGTAGATGATTAGGAGGAGGGTATAGAAGGTTTCTACTACCATCTCCATTACTGAACTGCTGTGGGAGTGTGCAAAAGCTCTGTTGTTCTCAGCGATTTGGGTAAGCAGTTTCTGGGGGCCCAGAATGTAGCTCTCTTTCTGTCCTAAGTGCATCTGAAGTATTTAAAATTAGATCCCCTCTTCAATGGGAACCATTCATGAAAATGTCAGCTTTAAATGTCTTTACAGTGCAAGTTACTTGCTATGAGCATACCACCCACTTGTCTTACACCCTACAAGGACAGAGTCTGAAAAGTTTCAAGATCATGACATGTAACAGACCAAACACACACAAAGCCTTATTTAAAGGCACTATTAACCCAGCTGGAAACATGACTAGAAGTGAGTGGAAATAATATTTCATGTTAGACAAGACAGACTTACCTGCAGGTCAAAGAACTTGCTGTATCTCCGGTAGATGATCTGGGAAGTCAGGTCAGACCATGTTACGTTGATGATATAGACCTGTTCAGGGAAAAGAAAACACAAGTCAGCCTGTGCCATGAAACACAGGATACATACAAAGGCTGAACAGTCAGCATAGGTTAATTCCACATCTCACTGCCTGCTCTTGCTCACAATGAGGAAAACAGCCCTGGTGCAGGACTAGCCTAAGTAAAAGCCATTACCCTGTTGCAGACTTTGCAGAGATCTTGGAAGAGCACCCAGTGTCCTCTCATCCATCCCCATCACCAGCTCCCACCGATTTTGACCTCCCTGGGATTAAAGCTTGGAGTGATGGCACATCTACTGCTCTGTGGTCACACACTCTGGTCTCTACCTCTGCCCATCTGGAGGGTGCCAGGGCCTGTTGGAGGCGTGACTGGGAGAACTATTCCACCCCTGAAACAACAGCCCATCATGGGCTGCTGATCTCCAGTCCCATGCTCCAAGTTTTCCTTGTATATGGAGTTGTGACTATGGCCCTTCCCAGGTAAAAAAAAGGAAAGTCAAACGGAACTCAGCACCAGGGGGGTTGTGGGATTACAGCTGTGCAACACAGCTGCTTACACACATCCATACAGGTGTGACAACACTCAACCCCACAGCACACAGCCTTTGCTGAGCCACATTGTACCACTCAGCACCTTTAGCACCTATCAAACCAATTTGAAGGTGATGTAAACCAAGTCAGTGAGAGCGACGCTGTTTTGTTATATCAGTGGAAACAGCAACACAAGCCCAGAACAAGCCCAGGATTTGCCTTGTCCAGCCCTAGTCCATCCCCAAAACAATCATCTTACACAAACACTGCTTTGTCAGAAGCTTGATAAAAAAATGGTAAGAATTATTCACATGCACACAGCACAGACACACACATACATATATATTTTTATAAAACACAAGTGTTTCCTTTTGACCCATGTGCCTCAAAAAATGAAAGAAAAAAAGGTGTGTGGGGGGAGGAAATGAGCCAGATTCTGCTCTCTCATACACTTGCCTTCAGGGCAAACGCTGGTCCTTCTGCATTGATGACAGATACACAACAGGCACAGGACAGAGTCATCAAGGGTGACTACACAACGCCAATCTAATGGAAATCACAGCCAGGCCAGCTCCTGGGTCTTTAAAGCAATCTCCAGGTTTCCCTGGAGCAAGATAAGGATCTGACATAGGAAACAGGAAATCATCCCTCCTCCCTCAGCCCTAGTGCTGCAGCAGCTCTCCCTTTTGCCAAGGATGCAGAATTGAAGCTTTCTGTCTCCAGCAAAGGGGGATGGACAAGCATCACCTTCCTCTCCATCTCCCCCTAGGACATTGGCCCATCTTCCATAGTGCTGATGCAGGGTAATTGCTTCTCTGCTTTTAACAATAAAGGGTATTGCATGACAGCCCCTGGGGGGAATGTTGAAGAACAGGCTTAACAACGCATTTCCAAGGATTGCTGAGGGATTTTCCCTTCTCCTTCCCCAGTAGGAGAGAGGTGTCATCTTATGCCCTGGAAACACAGAGGTCCAACAGCCTCGCTTTCCTCTCTGCTTATTAGACCATATTCAGTCCCTAAGGCAGTTTGCTCCCCATCTCCTACAGCCCAGTTTCATGGTATTAGGGAACTGGAGCTACTGAGCACAGGCTGTGAAGGAGATCTGGGGCCTGTCCTAGAGCACTGGGGTTAAAGACTAAGATCCTGACTTTGACTCAGTTATCATATCAAACCTATCAAACCAGAGACCATAAAGGCTGGCAAAGAAAAGGCTGCTCAGTGGTGAGAGCACATCTCTCATCAAACCCAGGTGTCTTATATTTCTCCTGGAAAACTGAGCCACCCTATCTACCTCCTACAGTACATATGTGTGACATGGATGGGAGATAATATTGTGTAACATGAAGATTTCAGCTCCCCTTTAAAGATCTTGTCCATGCAGACAAGACAGAGGAGTCAGAGCCTGGGAAGGAAGCTGCTGTTGCCATTTTTCAGGCCAGCCACACTACACTGAAGAATATTTTTCCATGTGTTTGTTGTGAAGGGGGGGGAAGTTTGTAGCTTCACTCCGTGCTAATTCACAACACAAATATTTCTACTCCTTCTTCATCCAACAGCTACTTTCAGATGGAAAACCCATTCGATTAAAAACAGATCATGACAGATGGGAGCTGACTGGGATCCAAAAGCAACTTCAGATACTGTAATTCTGGCCCTGGGTTCTCACAAAGGGGATGAGACGGAGCTAGGAGAAACATACTGTGCATGCAAATAAAGATTGTATTTTTTCTTTAATAATGCATATTTTTCTTCAAGAAGCTAGAAACAGAACACATATGCCACAGGCTTCAGGCTTTTTGAATTTCATGGCACTTCAAGCTTCCTCATGCTACTCTTCAGAATCCACAAAAAAATGTATCCCCCAAGGTTTTAATAGCCTCAAAATCTGATTGATCAAGATCTAGTCCAGAAAGGAGTTAATCCTGCTCTAAGAGCCCAGCATCGTTCAGTGGTGCAGTAAAAGGCACAACACCCCCATCACGTGAGACTGGGCAGAGCTGGGTGCAAAGGCATGATCTGGTCAAGAGGCTGGATGTATTTGGTGCAGGAATACTACCCCACTGCATGGTGCAGATACAGCCCCAGCTCTGAAATCCAGGCTCGGCAGGAATGATGCTGCCACTGACTTCAATCAAGCCAGGATTTTGCTGCACATTCAAAACAGCAATTAAACACTTTTGAGCCTTAGGTGTGCTCAAGATTAGCAAGTGATGAATTGGGCAGCATGCACATGCACTGACTTTTTATTTCATGGGAAGATCATAGCAGGAGCAAGAAAAGCCTTAAATCATAACCCAGAGCTCTGTGAAGCAAGAAACTAATGGGCTCAAAACGTGCTTGGTGGGTTGCAGGTGCAAAATCTGAAATGGCTATTGATTTTCTTTGCTTCTTCGTGTAAATCAAATTGCTTCTTGACAGTCACCATTTAAAATGATGGGGAATAACCGTTAGCTTGAAAAAGATCTGGAAAATGCCAGATTTTAAAAGCAAGGTCTATAGGTTTCAAAAGACTTTGGTATCACATTTTTCTCCCTCAGAGACCAGAGTTTGGTGATTATTCACTTCTGCTGCCTTAGACGGACCCATAACCTTTCCATGAGCAGCAAACATTACATCAGCTTACCTCGTCATTTTTTTGCTCAGATCTTAAAAGGGTCGCTGTGAAAGCGATCAATGATATCCCTTGGGAGAATAGGAAAAGCAGTCCTGGGGGAGCCCGAGGTCATGCAAACACGACAGGACAGGGAGGCAGCAGGAAATATCAGACAAATACAGACAGCCATCCCACGCCCGAACGCCCTGAACACCCACAGGCCCAGCATCGCTCTTCCAAGCTGCCTGCAGAGCCAAGGGAAAGCTGGGAAAGCTCTCTGTGGCATCCAACAGCTCTCCAGAGTTGAGCCACACAAGCCACAGCTCCAGCACACAGCTGGTCCTGCCCACGAGAGTCCCAGGTCTCAGCGTGCTGCTTCTTGATAGAAGATAAAAATCAATGCATCTCATTCCTTAGAGCAAGCTCTTCTTGTAAGTACACTGTAAGTACAGTGTTTTCCTACAGTCAATACATGCACAGAACTAAACTTGAATCGTGATTGCAAATTAAAAATTACTACAATAATTAATTCCATAAGGTAAAAAGATCTGCTTTGTGTATAAGGCATGTTCATGGCCTTAAAGGAGTCAAACACATCTGCTATTCAAATGCTTCCCCTTAAAATCCATAATAAAAAGAAGTTCTTAAAAATAAATAACTGAAGTAGAAATTACAGACAATTCACTGTACAATTACTGGGTGCTCCAGCCTCTAATAAAGTTCAATTTTTAATTTCACAAATCCAGTCTTTTTTAATCTATTATGTATTTTAAAACAAGTCCTTCTTCAGAGAAGCAAGAAGTGAGCGTGTACAAACTGGAGAATATTAATTAGGAACTGAGCTTGATAAGCAGCTCTTAATATTCATGCTGCATGAAAGTAAGTGCAGGATGTGAGGGGGATTTTATCAGCTGCTAATTATTGTTTAATTCTAGCTCTGGGAAACTTCCATTTTACCCATCACAGAGCAGAAAATTTATTGCAAACTGAAGTTACTGCTCTCCCTTTACTGCCCACACCAAGCGATGAGGAGAGATGACTTCCTACTACAAAAAGCATTCACTCAAATGTCATTGGGCATGACTTTATCATTGAATGTCTTATTCTCAATGGGAAATATCCAGGTCCAGCTGGCACAAACCCCAGAGGTAAAGAATTCAGGTTATTCCCATGTGACCAAGTTTTCAATTGGCTTTTTAGAGACTAATGTTTTGTTTCCTACAGCCAGATGAGCTGGAGTGGAAGATAAGTGCCTGAAATGAGTAGTGTGATGACACCAAGATAAGAACATCCACAAATACACGAGCTATTGGCAAAGACAAGATTGAAGAGCAGAGACTAGAAATATCCCTGCACACGTAAGCGAGGGTGCTGTTAACCTTTAATAAGCAATTACAGTAAATACCAGCTATTAAGAAAGGTTTATGAATGCAAAAGTGAAAAACCAACCCAACAACGCTATGGTGCAATTTGTATGCAGATACCATCACGACAGCCCCTTTTATCCTGGAGAATGTCAGCTTCTTCAAAGTCTTATATTTAAGTGTTGGATGTTTGTCCTCCAGTGGGTCATGACTGAGCTGGAAAAAGCACTCCTCACCTCCCGTATTCAGATGCTATCACTGCCTGTGAGCTGGAAACTTTTCACCAGCACAGCTCAGCATGTGAAGGCTCACCGGTCTGCTTCCATGCCCAACTCCCACAAGGCTTGCAGCAACTTCAGCTGGTTCATTTAGCTGGTGGCGTTCCCATTAAAGCAGCTCTAACTGCAGCAGCCATCCACAAATTCAACATACCTCTGTGCCCTAAATTACCGGGGTACAGGCACTGCATCAACTTAGTTTGCATAACCATTTTAATGACAAAGATGTACTGATGAGCAGAAATCATTGCTGGCCCAGACCCAGATTTAGAGTGATAACAGCCTAAAGACAGTACATTCGGTACCCATGAGGTCATGGCAACAAAGCTGTTCGCCTTCCAGAAGGTACTTCTTCCACCCCACAAGACACTGGCAGCAGTAGCCAGGGTTTCCCCAGGATGACGGTCCTCAGTGTCCTCAATTCCTGCCCTACACAAGAGCTAGAGTGGCAGAAGGGAGAGAAAAGTGCTCCAGGAACAAGCATGGAGAATGTAAGCTCTACTCCCGCACACATCACCTGTGCCTTCACTCGGCTTGGATTGCATTTGACACAGGATCCAGGGAGCGCAGCATGGGCTCCCTGCCCAGCTCACAGCATCCAGAAGGCCCTGAAAAGCACTGTGAGACCTGAGAAATTCCCGCAGAGATGAAGTCAGACCCTCAGCCCTGAGCCCATGGCGAATCCACCACCGGATGATGTCACCTTTCAGCACAATGGTCTCCGAGGGACCACAGCTCAGCCGGGGCATTGCCAAGGAAGAGCTATTTTCAACCCCAGCCTGGAGCTGTTCTCGCACCAGGAATTTGAAGACTGAGCTGAGAAACAGAGATGAGGCTCAGAAGAAACACGAAACCCAAGCAGCCCCTGACAGGAAAGCTTCTTGCAGGGCAATTGCTGCCATGGCAGAGTGCCTTAGAGCAGCCCCCGGCACAGGCGCTGATGCAGGCTGCACGCAGGTGCAGGGCGTCTGGCTTTTTCATGCAGCACATGTGGTTTCATGGACATCCCTCTGCCCTGCTCGTGTTTCCATTACCAACGGGAGAAATGTAACAGAAAAAGCCAAAGCGGCCCATGGGTCTCATGGACACGTACCTAAGCTTTGGAAGCAAAGTAGAGTTAAATTATGCTGGGAGGGAACGAATTGGACAGCCCCAGCGTTTGCCAGTTCTCATCTGTGAGCAGCCACCACCCTGGCAAATTAAGCGGGACACAGCAATTCCAGTTTGCATCACAATTTGCAAGCTAATTTACAATCTAATTAAACATACAGGGTGGGGGGAAGGAGAGTTTTCCTTCCTTCACTGCTTTCTTTTGTGGATCTTGTTTCAGCTCTGAACAGCAATGCAAGAGGATTAACGCCACTTCTCTTTTCAGCCACATCAAATCTATTCTGTACACAAGAAAAATAAACTCATTTCCAGTTCTGAATCCAGTCATACTCTGAGACTCAAGCTGGGTCCTTTCTAGCTTAGAAAATCCCACCACTACTGCATCCTATAAGGGCACAGACCTTCCTCCTGGTGGAGCATTAACCAGGATGAAATCCATTTCTCTTTGCCAAATCCTGGTATTTAAACACAAATGAGAATAACAAACAACTGCCTCAAGCCAGCCAGCCAGCCAGCCAGCCAGCAGACGTCCCTGGGAACACAGGAAGAGGAGCTCATTTGAGTATGAAGGCACCTGGCTAGATGTTTTTGCTGGTTTCCTAGCTTCAGGGGTAAGGACCAGACAAGTAACAGGGTTGTGACTGAATGATGAATCCAGCTCATTGTGTTTACACAGCAGAGTAAGACAATACTCAGCCTCCCATATTTCTTACACGATGATAAGGTTTCAAAGGCCATAGTTCAAATTTGTACTTAGTCTCTTCTTCACCCTTTGTATTTTTGGCATTTGCCGACTTGGGTTTTTAAGCGCTGACTTCAGGCCTTCCCAGCACCTTCCTGCTAAGAAGATGCTAAAAGTCCCACACAATCAGAGTAAAAAGCCAAGAGGGGAAAAACCTCCCTGCTATGCTTCTTTGCATGGTCATTTGCATTTAAGACAATAAGTTGACCAGAGAGCTGCAGAACTGGAATGGCTGGGAGCCCCACGGCTTGGTTACAAACCACCTCCGAGCCTCTTGCCAGGCTTGTTTGATTACTTTATTTGACTTCATTCTTAGGGGTGTGTGCGCAGAGTACAATGTGTCTAATTCTTGCAGACATGCAATATCTGTGTTGCATTAGCAGGGCTTTGTTTTTTAACTGATATCCTGGGTCACATCAAAGGCCTATCAAGGCTCCCATCTTATCTCCAACATCCAGTAAGTGGAGCTTACAGAAAGAGAATAAGAAACAGGACTAGTAAGACATGGGTCATTTCCCTGCTACCACCTCCCAGCTCCTTGCAGCTTCCCTGCGAGGAAAGAGCAGACAAGGGAAGTGGACAACATCCACCCATTAGACTTACACACATGAGGGAGGGAGAACATCTGAGCCAGGTACAACCTGGACTCATATTTCTGTTTCAAATAGCTCTATCCACCTGCATTTCCTTTCCACCTGTGATTGAACTATTTGTGAAGCAGAATAACCACAGGACTGAGTTTCTGCCATTTAAGGGTTGACAGGTTATTAGAAAACACAACATCTAAGCCTACAGAGCATTAGAATAGTAGAGTGACAAACATAAAATAGAAACAAGAACATAGAGGCTCTCTGTGAAACCTGGCTCCCTCGTGGCCTCCTCAAACACCCTCTCCTGGGTCTAAAAGAGGTGTCTACGGCAAGCAAACAAAAATAATCCAGCTGCACTTCAAGGTGAAAAGTTTTCAGCTTATTGCCTCTTAAATCTGGATGCCACCTGATTTATAAACTATACACATACACTATACACTTGTGTCTTTCTCCCCAGCAGGTGGTTGGTGTTTCATTAAGATGCCAAAATAAGAGAATGTCTTGGTAGAAGAAGAGGAAAAAAAATAGTGCCTTGAATTCCAAATCATTCAAGTAAGTTTCAGTTAACACCAAATCCCACACATCTTTGCACAGAGTTATTTATGCCTGTGTGAGATCTCTCCAAGTACCCTTCTTTCTGCTCTGAGAACAAGGGTCCATCTACGTTGTACCAGCAGAGCTGTACTGATGCTTCTTCCCAACGATGGAGCTTGTATGCAGTGCTAGAGCACCTACAGCCTGCAGCCATATGAAGACAGAGCACACCATAGAATCATAGAATGGTCTGGGTTGGAAAGGACCTTAAGGCCATCTAGTTCCAACCTCCCTGCCATGATATTGCTGACCTTGGTTTATGGCACAGGGCAGATTTTTGCACGCTGTAGGTATGTGGCCTTACTTCCACAAGTGGCAAAAGCTCCCCTCTGAAGTCTTACAATCTCAAAGAGGCGCTGCTAAAACCCAGCCTCTCCTTCGGCTTCTCACGTTGGAGATTTCTGCTCTGCACCAACACTTGCATGTAGTTTATATTAGCATGCAAATCTTCCGGCTTTGATTTGTAACCTTACATATGACCCCCAGATGCAGTGTTGGAAAAGCAAAGCAAGGGCCTGGGAAAAGGAGCAGAACTCCTCCAGGCCCTTCCAGAACAATGACAAAGCTCTGGGACATTCTTAGTCCAAATAATGGAAATTCTCCTGGGATTTTGCCATAGAATAGCAGGATAATTTTTTTTTTCTTCTCTTTTTGAGTAGAGGGAAACAGAAAGTTCACAAAAACTAAGAGACCCTCAGATTCACAAAGCCAGTGCTCAAGGGTACAGTACTTCAGGTGTGATCTACAACCCCTGACACAAACCAACTCTTTACACAGTTTGTGCAACCACATTTTTCATGCACAACTGAAGGATAAAACTTGAGGTGAAATCAAACAGATCAACCAGCAAAGCATCACAGAACTGCCAGCATAACACACGGACAGATGAGTGTTTGAATGTTAATTGCAAAATGCTAGAAGAGTTGTGACTGAAAACCAGACCTATCCTTAAAAGAAACAGCACTCAACAAACATGCAATTATACTGCATGACCATACATACGTCAGACTGAATGTATTTGGACATTCTTTACAGGACAATCCTGACAATGTGAAACCAACTCTTGGAAAGAAAGGAACAAATTTCCACAACCCCAGAAAGATGCAATGCTGAAGTCACTGGAAAAAATATCTTTCACTGTGGTGACCTTTGATTTAAGGCTTCAGAGAAATCCATGTTTCTTGCAGGGAGAAAAGTGAAAGAAGAATGTGATTTTGTGTCCTGGTCTTGCAAAGAACACCTGAATTGCAGTGTGAAATACCAAAGAGGAGGCAAACATGGAGCACCCTCCTTATTCCTCACTGTGCTTCTGGCCAAGGCAGGAAAACTGATGCAACAGTCCTACACAGAACAGATTCCCTTCCACCAGGGCACAGCACTGAATTAAACACAAAATTACCTTCTTCCTGTGGAACTTCAGGGTTTTCAGGAAGATACTCTGCCAAATCCTCGCACCCTCAATCACTGCCTCTTTGCTAAGTTGAACTATTGTCTCTGCCCCTTCCTTCCCTCCCACTCTTCTAACAGTCATCCTCCTTTTCCCTCCTTTTCCCACGCTTGGCTTCCTGTCTTCCCGCTTGCAGGAACACCCTCTCCCACCCCAGATGCGCAGGACCATCACGGACAGCATAAACCCATCCCTCTCCAACTCTGCAATTTGCAGCCTGGGCCACACACAGACACAAGCAGCCATCCTCACTGCTTTCCAGATCAAGTTGATTCAGCTCTCTGGACTGCGGTTTCTGCGGATGGGCGAGCATTGCTCTGTCCTGCTGGGATACAGGGGTACGAAGAGATGCTTTTTCAGCCTGGAGCAATACTGTGCTATGGGCATTTCTGCTCACTGCCCCTTTAAAACCTGCAAATAGAAGGATCCTACGGTAGGAAAACTGCTGGGCACAGGAATAGCTGCTGGACAGGACAGTCACACTGCCTAACTTTGTCCCCAGATGAGGACTTGGGAGATGAGCCTCCAGATTGTACTGCAGACGGAAGAGAAAGTCTCCAAGTTGTGCTACTCAGCTGCACTGCCCACCAAACCAGCCCTCTTCTTCCCAGACTGTGAATGGGATACAAAGGTGATGGGCCCCTAAAAATGATGTAAAATTTGTGGATGCAGCTACCATCAGCAGTTGTAACCATACTGCCAAAAGACACAACCACTAAATCAGCCCCCACACCTGGCTCACGTACTGGCACAAGCCGTTGCCTTTGCTCCCTGCCATAAGCCTGGACCCTTTCGGTGCAGGGGAGAAGAACATCCCCAGGGATCACACAGCTTCTCTCTGTAATAAACTACATGTCTCCTCTGGAGACATGCACTGCTGTTTGGTAGTGCACTGTCTGAGCTGCCACGGAAGGCAGTGATGGTGACCACACTAATTCCTTCTCTTTTACCTATCACAACCCAGCCACAAGCCACACATACCCTGGGAGTTGCTCATTTTTGGAAGGAGAGTGTGTGGCTGCAAGTCAGCATGTGTCACCTTAGAAATAAGCCTTTTAGGGCCATCTCTGTATTATATGTTCTATCAAAACCAGTAATAAAATCTGAATCAGCAAAATGACTGTATGCATTTACATTTCTGTCAAATTCAGGGTTTACAGTGACTTGGAACAATAAACAAACCTCTTCCTTTCAGTCCCTAAGCCTGAATATCCTCCCCCTTTTAGCCACTTAAAGAGAATTATTAATGTTCCGCAGACAGAAACTCTATTAAATCTGCTAAAGTGACCACCAAAAGCCCAGAAAAATTACTGTCTGTAACAGCAGACTTTCAAGAACTGCAATACAGACTTTCGATACAGCTGCACGCACATATACAGCATCTGGAGACAGCAGGAATTTGCTAGGCAGGATTTGGGCAAGAAGTCCTAATTTTATGCATCCCAAAGTCAAGATCACAAACTGGGCTAAACCACCCATCTCAGATCCTTCTCCAGGACGGCTACGGTAGGCATCTGTCTCTGGAGTTGCCTCATCCTCTGCCTGCAGGAGGATCCTATGCTAGACAGACATCTCATGTCTACAAGGCTGAAGGCAAGGTAGACGTACATACAGTAAGGAAAGGTCTAACTGGTGTAGAGATGCCCAAGTTGACGCTGACCTCTGTCTCCTCCATGATGCAGCACTATCAGTGCATGGTGGTCCACAAGGCAGGTTGGCTGGGTCAGCCACACTCACACCAAAGAGCCCCACATCTTTGCAGAGTATGTTAGTACTGGCACAGCATCACTTGGATCTGTCTGCTCTACTCGATGGGACTTCTTAACACCACACGCCTCTGTCACAGCCACTGGGTCCAACTGCCAGTGACAGAACACTTCCAAATGCCAGATCCTTTTAAAAAACGGGGATTTGACTCCAATCTTCACTCAGAGGATTCAAAGTTTTTAACCTGGGTCCCCAGAGCAATTTAAAATTCCAGTTTATGAAGCGCTGACACAGGAAGGAGCTGGAGGCACCACTACAATTTACCATGGAGAAGATATGCAAAGATAATAATATAAAGCAGCATCCTGACAGCAGGACAGGCCTGACTGCCACAGCACCAACAGCCCACGTGGGCACAGCATGGATCATAGTCAGCTCGTGCATTTAGTGACCTTGGGCAGGACAGGAACTCGTGCTCATGGAGTTCGGGAAGTAGACAGGGATTTTTTAAGAGATGCTTCCTCTCTGACTTGGCTCAGCTGTTGGCTTCAGAGCAGGGCTCTCAACATGCAGCTGCTTTGTCAACTCACCCTCAGGCACTGGCATATGACGGAGATGATGGGATGGACAGTCAATGAGGCCGAAGGGCACAGAAATGTTCTGCATCCCTGCAGGTGTCCCGAGAGACAGACAAGCAAGCGACAATTTTTGTCCCAGCCAAGGGCAGAAAATGGGTTACTCCATCCCTGAAGTGAGATGCAGGATGAATGCATCTCCTGCCAAGCCTTTCATTAACAATGGCCTGATCTGAAAATCCTTTCCCTAAGTGTTTGCTCTTACAGAGCAGATTTGAAACAGAAGGTTGAGATAAAGATGGATGTGCTCAACAACTTCTTGACCCACTCCAGACTTCAAACCTTGCTTGCTCCTCCCAGGCACCAACCCTTACTGCCCCAAATGATCCCAGCAGGAGCAGTGCTGACACAACAGAGAAATCTGCAGCTTCTATAGCACTTAACATGTCCTTCATTTTTTGCTAGGATCAGAGATCTGCTTATAGGTAAGGATACACCAAAGTCTGGTTGGATTAGAGAGATGCAAAGCCTGCTCTGAACAGCCACAGCTTTGGTTGCCAAAAGGAATATACAGCAGTGGAGAGAGAGCCAAGCCCTGCAGCCATCTCCATGCAGACATCTCCACTTGAGGGCTGAGCCAGCCAGAGGCAAGCTGAACCGAAATCACTCACACTGCGTGTGCAGGGCACAAAACAGTCGGACGAATGCCACAGAACACATGAGGTGTGAATTACAGCATCGTAACTCACGCCCTGGAGTGTCTTATTGCCAAACAGTTCAGGGCAGAGCTAGGATTCTTTTTCCAGTGTTGTAATTCCCCTGCCTCTTCTCTCTCTTCCACAACCGCCCTTTGAATAGAGATACATCCAAAGAGGATCAAATCTCACCCTCCTCAGCCCTGTGAACCATGAGCAAAACTAGCAGCACTTAGCCCACTGTGCCATTTCTTAAGACTAAATTAATACTCTTCAAATATAAACCACTCTTGCCTTGGAACAACATGAAAACAGATGTAAAATCATCCAATTGACAAACGGGTGCTATCAGCAGGTTCTGGTAAGAGCCACAGCATCCCATGCTCTAGCAGAGTGCCTCCCCCTCCATCCACCTCAATGCACCGAGAGCAGATGGGCTGCCATGCAAATCAAGACAAGGTGCAAAGGATGTCTCCGGGTTCAAGCACCACAATCTCTATGGGCCCAACTCTGTTTGCAGCCCACTAACATGAGCTGCTTCTCCAGATGGAGATCCCAGGTAAAATAAACCCTTGCCCACACACCCACAGATACACACTGTTAAATAAGAGGGGCTGCTCTCAGTAATGCCACCAGGCCACTTACTCCAGGATTTGCCCTGCTCTGTCTCAGGTAGAAGGAATGGACATCCTGGCCATCCCCTGGGTGCAGTGACAGGGCAATCCATTACTCTGGAGGCCAGTGGAATAGCTTCTAAGGTTAAACAAAACCAACAGAAACAAAGATCTAGGGTACGGATCTGCTCCTAGGTCAACCAAATCCCACTGCAAGCAGCAGGCAGGGAGGAATTCTCCCACAAGACACACCAAACTGACACAGCCACCATGGCTGCTCTCACTTGAGGGAAAAGATAAAGTCAGACAAAATGAAGGCAAGAGCTCTCCCAGATGAGAAAGCCACAGGCCCAAGTTCCAGAGACAGACCATTGAGCTCCCACAGTCTTTCCTCTCTGTTAACCATCCAAATTGCTTTTGAGGGTAAGCAAAGGAGTCCAGTTGGAGAACTGACTGATAGTTTTAGTAGAGGATAACCACTAGTCCTGAGATATAGTTGACCACAGGGAAAAACCACTGCTCCCATCAGCATTCTCCAGCAAGCCCAGGACCACCCTGGATGGGACAGGCAAGAGCAAAACCCAGGCCTGCACCCTGACACCCACACTGTCTGTGCTCCACAGAAGGCAATTTCTGCTTCCCCAAGCTGCCTGTGAGGCTTCTCCACAAAGAACACAAAGACAGACAAAAAGTTCCTCATGACTTGTGAGCACAGAGGCAAGCCTCACCTGGTTGTGAGATGGTGGCCTCATGTTCGCAGTTCTTCATGGTTACAAAAAAGATCTCCCCAGCAACCATGCCTTTTCTAAACACTGAGATGATGAGAGTTGTGCTTTGGTCCAATGGATAAATGCCATTTCCTCAGAACAGAAAATCTTCCTAGAAAGCGTAGGGCACAGACTGAATGGCCTGCAGAGCTCACAACAGTGATCCCTTGGAGGCTCAGCCTGCCAGGGAACTGAAGGACATGCTGCACTTCTGGAAAAGGCCTGAATTCCAGAGATTTCAATGGCATTTAAGCCTACACTTAACTGTTGCTGACTTGCAGCCTGCGACAGAAGACCTGTCAGGATCTTCTTTGTCACTTTGTCCAAAGAAGTGACAAATTACAGCCCTTGGACTTGTACAACTGTTGATTTGTGGGCTGTGTTGAAAATCCCAACTCTTGGTAACTATCATCCTTCCACTGTAATTTTGGGCTTTGCCAAAACAGGCCCATGTAGCCTGTCTACAACCCTGACCTAGTATGACAACACTCTTCCAGCCTTGCACAAATGAACAGGAACCCTCCAGCCCCACATCTCCCCAACTCCAGCACACAGGAATTGCTCCAACACCCTCATTTCACACATCAGTTATATCCTGCCAAGTTTCATTTGGAGATGACTGAATCCTCTCCAGATTGGCTCGATTCTTGCCACAGCTGCAGCACTCTGCACACATTTCCAGTCCCTGTTAAACCACACTAGCTGTGGATGCCACATTGCCAGTCGTGCAGCCGGGGGGGGGCTCTGAAGCAACCCCATCACGGTGGCAAGAAAGCCAGGTCATGATTGCAGTCACTCAGCAGCCAGCACTCC